GCTGGGAGACTGCTTCTCCCTCTCCCTCTGCTGCTCCCCCTGCTTGTGCTCTCTCTCAAATAAATAAACAAAATCTTTTAAAAAACAAAACCTACCCCTAGAATAGCAACTGCAACTGGAATCATCATCTGAGTAAGCCTGCGATAGCTCCCTGTCATTCAGAAACCTGTGCCTTCTGCAGAGGCCAAACCAGTGAGTTAAGGAGCACATGACAGACACCACCCCTGCCACTTTCAAGCCTTTGATGATGGCATGAGTTTCTATGATTTTCCTGGAGTTGAATCATTATTTCAGTCTATTGATTGGTAAGAAGGGGAAGTTCCAGGGGCTTCCACTTGTCCCTTTCTACTATAATGGCCCTTATTCCATAGGCCTGGAGAGTCATGTGTGAATTCCACCTGTAAATTTCAATTTTACACCCTGAAACTAAGAAAATTATTTCAGGACAAGTCCAGAGTCTCACTGGGTGCAGCATGCCTGGACTTGGGTCTGAACTCCAATTACCACCTGATCCACTTGAGCCCCTACACAGTGGTTCTCTGTGTCTTCAGAAATGAGCATTAAATAGACTCAAGGTCTGCTAATCCCTGAAAAATCTGTGTATTTTCCCTTGACAGAGCACAGTTCTTGGGCAAAGGGCCCAGGAAAGATTTACAGTACGTGTCTGGGTGCCATTGAAGGGTTCGCTCTGAAGTGTACCGGCCCCTCTTCCATTCAAGGGACTTTGGGGGAGAGAACTGAGGCTCTCTTTCATAGTGGCTCAAGCTGGGCTTCTACAGCCCAACCTGGAAGGGTCTGTTTATTGTTCTGTTGCTTCTGTTATACAGATGAAGGAGGACTTAGAGGTTGCCTGTTTGGTCCCTTTGGTTCTATTTGACCTTTGAGCAATTAGCCTCTGCTGAAGATATCTGTAAGTTAGACCATTCTGAGTACCGCCTGATGTCTGATATTCCAGAAGGCCAAGTGCTGCTGTATGTGCTCCGCTCCCCCGGGACCCCAGCATTTCCACTGAAATTATGGAGCCCATTTCTATGGCAGCATCTTCCGCCAGCATCCCTAGCTTGCAGGGAGCAAGTAGTGCATCACGTTTCAAAGACACTGCCCTCACTAATGGAGGTCCCTATGTCTTGGTAAAGGGAGTTTGCTACAGGCTCTGTAAGAGAAAGCCAGGAGTGTGGAACTTGGCTAGGGGGTATGTGAGTGGATCACACAGGGTAAACCCACCTCAACATTCCTCCCTCTCTTAGGCTTTGGGCTCCTTCCTCTATTATATATATTTTTTAAGATTATTTATTTATGGGGCAGCCCCCGTGGCACAGCGGTTTAGTGCCGCCTGTGGCCCAGGGCGTGATCCTGAAGATCCTGAAGACTCGTGGGATCGAGTCCCACGTCGGGCTTCCTGCATGGAGCCTGCTTCTCCCTCTGCCTGTGTCTCTGCCTCTCTCTCTCTGTGTGTCTCTATGAATAAATAAATAAATAATTTTGTTAAAGATTATTTATTTATTTATTCATGAGAGACACAGAGAGGCAGAGACACAGGCAGAGGGAGAAGCTGATTCCCAGTGGGAGCCTGGTACGGGACTCAATCCCAAGACCCCGGGATCACGACCTGAGCTAATGGCAGATGCTCAACCACTGAGCATCCACCCAGGTGCCCCTCTTCCTCTATTTTAAAGCAAGAAATTCCTGGGATTTCAACAGCAATAAAGCACAGCTCCTGATTGCATCTAGAGTTCAATCAACTGCTAAGCCAACAATGAAAAGCACCCTTTGCTGCTCACACTGATGAGCACGCTGAATCTAGATCTCAGGTAAATGTATACTGTATTATAAACAAATTCAAACCAACGAAATCGTTTCTCCCTCCATAGACTAGCACCCATAGAAAATGTTCCTACCTGTTTTCCAGATTTTGTGCTGATGTAAATTAGCAAAGTCTTGTGGTTCTTTTGATGTGTATGCTTCCTCCTTCCAGATTTGACTCTGGAACTAGTCCCCCCTGGCAGGCAACCATTGAACTCCAGTTCTGGGACTGGAGACAATGGGAGTGGGACCTGAGAACTGCCTGCCCCTGGCTGGTAGATTGAAAACATGTCCATGCTATTTTGCTGCTCCTGCCATTGAGAAGTAGAGTCTATTCCTCACCCCTCGGATCTGGGTGTCCTTCACGGCTGTGACCGACAGAGTGTGGAGGTGACGATGCAAGTTGCAGAGCCCAGGCCCCAGGGCCTTAGCTCCTGCCTCATCCTCTCAGAATCCTGAGGATTCTGAACCATAGGCCAGGGCTGTTAGGCTCCGATGCCTCTGCAGCTAAGCACTGGAGCACCCACTGGACCACTTCCTTGGAGTGAGCATCTATTAGGCACCTCCTCTGTACCAGGTATTGTGCTAGGTATAGGCTGCAGCAGGACATGGGCAGACCAGGGCCTGCTCTCAAGGAGGTCTCAGCTGGGCTCTGTTTCCTCTCCCATAGGTGCAGGATAATGAGCTCCATGCTGCAGGGACTAGGGTTAAGGTTACATAGAATCCCATCGGTGACTGTGGAATGTGGCACTCATCCCTGTCCACGACTTCTCTCCTTCACAGCCAGGAGACTTGGGTTTCCATATAGGCCAGGCCCTGCCATTGACCTGCTGGGTGGCCTTGGGCCGGCTACTTCACCTCTCTGAGCCAGTTTCTCATCTGTAACATGGGACAGTAGTAGCTACCCCTTAGGGAAGCTCTGCAGATTAAATGAGATCATACACAGCAAGAGCCAGGCACATGATCAACCCTCAGTAGAAAGTTAAACCCCATGTCCCCATATTTGAGCCACATCCAGGACCCTCACAATTCAGCAGTCCTATCTCTGCAACTTTAACGAGCAGCATGGTGGGAATAACAGGACCTCCCTCCAACAGCCCCCATTGGGAAGCTCCACATGGGATCTGGATGGGCCACTGGAGGCACTTGGCCTGGTGTCCGGCTCTGGTCCAACCTTGACCCATCTGCCTCTGCCACCTGCCCTGCCACCTCCTATACCAGCAACTCCATCCTTCACTGTGAAGTGGGAGCACAGACCTCTCACCACCACCCCTGCATGTGCCCAGATGACCTCAGGGCCCTTCTGTGTCATCTGGGTGGCCCCCACACCCAGGCCTGGTGTATTTTGCTCTGAGCTCCCACCTGGCAGGGCACTCCCTCCTGCTGAGGGAGCTGTCACAGGCTGAACTCCCGGCCCCGGAGTCCCGGGTGCTTGTCTAGTATTTCTCTGCCTCGGAGCCATGCTTGTGTGATCAGGATGACTTCCCACCTAATTGGGCTACTGTGGGGAATACGTGGTACAGCACACATAGGTAGATTCTAAGCAGGCTACACACCTTGATTATTAGAATCCGGCCAGTTCCTCTCCTGCCCTTCCTAGAAGCAATTCCTGCTTAGCACCCTGGCTGTGCTGTGGGGCCTCGGGCATCCCACTACTAACACAGGGATAATCCCTACCTAGGCAAGCTGCTAAAAGATTGGGATAAAATTATATATATCAAGTGACTGACACGGTGTTTGGCACAAACATGGTGTTAGAAGCAAAATGCAAAGGTAGTACCAGCTGATATTTAAATCATTATTCTGATTTTAAAAAAAAAGAAAATACCAACTCCCTCTTCAAGGCAACCCATCTCACCTCCTCCTGGGAGCCTTCCTTATCTCCCCAAGGCAGTCATGGTTCCCTCCTCTGTACCCCCACAGCCTCCGTACCCTCTTAGCATAGCTGCTTCACTCACTTACCCAGTGAATATGTTTTTAGTTTATGTGTGTATGATACCGAGTCCAGGTGCAGGACACACAGTGGTGAACAAGATGTGGTCCCTACTCTTGTGAGGCTTCCATTCTAATAGTGGAGACAGTGGTAAGTCCAAACATGGAAAATTTCACAGCATTAAGGAGTCAGAAGAATAAGAAAACAGTACAGAAATTGCAGCAGTGGAGGAGCTGCTTCTATTGGGTTATCAGGGAAGGCCTCGTTGAGCAAATGACATTCGGGCTGAGTTCTGGATGACAAAAAAGGCACCTTTGACAAAGAACTGCTTGCCAGACAGAACTAGTGTGAAGGCCCTGAGGCAGAAGAATAAGTGTGATAAGTCTGGAACAGAATGATCCAGGGGACCAGAACAGTGGATGATGAGCACATTTGTCACTGTAAGTCTCCACCTCCAAATAAGCCCCTTGAGAGCAGAGCGAATTTATTGGGCCCACAGCACAGGACAGACCTGGAGTTCTGACATCTGTGTTAAAATTCTGTTGTGGTACTAACAGGAGTGAGTCAGCTGGCCCTTCTGCAGCCCCATTCACATCATGGAGGATTCTGTGTTGCCCGGCCAGGTAAGGGCTCCCTCCCTGGACCAACAATCCCAGAGCAAAGTTGTTAGAAGCCAGAGAGAGGGACCTGCCCAAGACCACATAGCCAACAAGCCAGCAGATGGGGCTCAATCCAGTCTCCTCTGCTCCTCTGCCACAGGTCTGTCTTGTGCATCCCACTCACCCTCACCCTCCCTAGCTAAGGTATCAGGAGCCCCAAGGACCATGAGAGGGAACCAGTATGAGGACTGTCAGGTCCCTCCTCCTCTCCTGCTACAAACCCCAATAGACCCAGGATCCCATAAGCTCCTCCCTGCCAAAGCCCTGCCCAGTCAGGCAGCCTGAGCTTGTAGTCCTGGCCCTGGGTATGGACGAGGTCAGCTTCAAGCAAAAAGCTAGGAGGCTGAAGACTAGACGGCCAAAGCTCAAGTCCGGAATGCCCTGGGCTCCAGATCCAGCACGGTCATTCCAGCCCTGTAGCCACTGTCTTTCCAGAGCAGCCAGGGCCAAAACAATTCAAGTTGGCTGGGATAACTGGGCATGCAGCTATTTGCCAGCATTTCAGGGCCTGACATGGGCCCCGGTTCAACAGAAGGAGCCCTTGTCCCCTGGGAAGAATGACACGGGAACCTCTGAGCCAATCACCCTCCATGCTCCAACAAAACTTCACTGGAAAAGTTTTATTGAAAAAAAAAATTGTACAAATAAGTTCTTGGTTTGACAGCAACAAAGGCTCATTTTTTCCCCTGCCCTCCCCACCTTTGAAAATCTACAAAAGGCAAAACAAAAGTTCAGCCCCATGATGCCTGACCAGAGTCTGCCCACAAGCTATTTCCCGATCCCTCTCACTGGGGCCAGGGCCATCATGCGGGTGCCTGTCCCAGGGGTTGCAGCACCTCATTTTATAGTTGAGGGGAGTTGGGAGAGGATTGGAATAGAGCTGGAGAGAGGGCTGAGGTGATGGTAGGGTCAGGGAGAGAGGGTCCCCATTCCACAGGGCTGGGCTGAACCCCCCCTAGTTTGATTCCATCTCACAGATGAGAAAGCATTTGGCTATAAATATGAACACTGAGGCAGGCTTAATCCCAGGACTCTGAGGGCAGGACGTGACTATTTAGCAGGTCCCACAGAATGCGGGGTGTCTGGGCTCAGCATCGTGGTATTTGGGGGCCCATGTCCAAGCAGAGTGAATTCTGGCTGGGAAGGTCTGCTCAGACACACAGGAAGCCTGCTGTTTCCCCACCCCACCCCATGGAACATCCAAGGCCAGTACCTCAGCTTCCCCCCCCCCCATAGCACCCATGTGTCTCAGGAGCCTTCGGCTGCTTCCTGCCATCCCGTGACCCTGGGGCCCTACAGCTCATCTCGCATCTTGTCACCCTTGGGCCGGACCAGGCGCCCAATGAATAGCAGGGAGCCACTCTGGGTGTCTCGAACCAGGAAGATGAAGGGGTGGTCAGCATAGAAGAGCTTGGGGCTGCGCAGCTCCTCGCGCCCGTAGATGTCCTGGTCGAAGGGGTTGCCCTCCGTGTCCCACTCGAAGGCGGTGGCGTGGAACACACTGGCCAGGTACAGGTCCTTCTTGCCTGACATGCGTGACAGGTCTGCCTTGTTCTTGTCAATGGCCTCCGTCAGACCCAGCCCAGCCAGGTGTTTCTGCAGGACCGGGGGGTGGGAGAGGTGCCAGGTGAGGCCACGATGGGCAAGGCTTCTAGACCCTCACCCTCTACCCACACCACCCATCATCTCCTACTCTGTCTGTCCCCCTCCCAGTCACCTTCTGTGTGCTAGACATGACGTGGGCACTTCGAACCACTGCTTCGTAGCTCTCATGACAACACTGCAAGAGCTTCTAAAAGCCACTTCACAAATGAGAAAACTGAGGCTTGCAGGAAAGGCAGCATTGATCCCTGGCCCTGCCGAGGAATCCTGATCAGTGCTTCTCAAAGTATGGATCGTGGACAGCTAGTAGGGGCACCACCTGGGAGCTTCCAGGAAACACCTTTCTTGACCCACACCTCCCAGAGCCACTAAACCACAATTTCGGAGGGTGGACCCAAGAACCTTCCTTAACAAAATCTCTGGGCAATTCTTGGCACACTCAAATTTAAGAAAGACTAATCTAAGAATAGCTATGACTATAAAACCCTGGGGCTTAAACCTGTCCAGAGTGACAGATGCCTGGAATTTTCTTCAAAATAATCTGATGGGGGAGCAACGGGTGTGTATAGATGAAGCCTTACTGGTCATGAGTTACTGATGGTTGCAGCTGGGGATGGATACATGGGGGAGGGCTCACTATGCTGATCTATTTTAAATATACGTTTATGTATTTCCATAGTGAAAAATTAAAACCTACCCCCGCAAACACGCATCCCCTGCAACACATTTTCATGGCTCTGCAGAGCCCCCGGGAGCCAGCTCTTTCACACGTGAACTGTGCTTGCACCATGGCCTCACCCCTTAGCATGCCCCCTGGCTCTCTATCCAAGAGTCTACTGAACAACTGGCAAGTGCAACGGTGTGTCGATGGCCTACCTGCATCCCTATAGGATGCTTTCACCACCCCACCTTCTAGGAAGCCTTGCCTCCCTGGGGCTCAGCACCCCAGCCTCTCTCTGTTTCAATGTCTAGGCCTGTCTGTCTCTTGCCCCTGGCTCAGAGCTCTCCCAGGGCAGGGCCCAGGTCCCACCTCCTCCCTGACTCTCAGTGAGGAAAACACAGCAGTGCAGGACTGCAGCCTGAGTCACCAGCAGCTGCAGTCTGGCTTCTGCAGAACAGCCCACCTCCCTGGCAGGGCCAAACACACACTTGACCTGTGGGCCTGAGGGTCGGGGGTCTGGAGACCTGTGTTCCAGGCCCAGCTGGCTATTCCAGTCCCAATGACCCTCTACAAGTCACACACTTCACATCTCTCAACTTAAATGTATCCCTGTGACTGGTGTGTCCATCCAGGATTCCAGGAAGATGCAAGGAAGAAAAAAGCGGGGGGGTGCAATGGAGTCTCATCACAGCAGGAGGAGCTGGGGGGGGCCTGGGGCGGGCCCAGGAAGGACACGGCCATGGCCCCTGTCTGGAAAGCTCAGCACGATCCATAGTACAGACTGCGCAAGTGCCATTAGCCTGTGGTGTACAGCCTATGCCCCATTTCATCTCAAGCTTTCTGTCCACAGTGTCAGCAGCGGGTCTTAATCAATTCTGTGAGGGAGAGGCTTGCCAAGGAACCATTTCTGGCACCCAAGGCAGGAATGAGATAAAAGCCTCCTCTTTTGAGCAGGTAAAAGTCTCTCCTGGCTGACAAATAGGCCACCCTGAGTTTTCACCCTGAGGACTCACTACAGCTCCACTGCTTACTAACCAAGGGTACCTTGGCAAGTCATAATTTCTCTCCAAGCCATAGGCCACCCCCCCGCCCCAGGGTGGTCAGGAGGGGAAAACACTGTTGAGTGCATGGAGTCAGTCTCCAGCCATCCCTAGTGCCCCACTGCTGACAGCCACTGTTAGTCTTCCTGACGTGTGGGGGACAACCATCCAGCTCAACCAGTGTGTCACTGGGGCCACCTCAGATTCTCAGAGGCAACATGGCACAGAATCAGGACGTGGCCTGGTGCCAGACACCAGAACTGTGTGTGACTCTGGATAAGCTGTTCAGCCTTCCTAAGACTCAGTTTCCTCATCTCTAAGAAGCTTGATGGTCCTACCTAACGAAGCTAATTTGAGGATTAAAAGTTTAATATATATGAAGTGCTCAGAAGAGGGTCTGGCATATGGCAGGCATCCAGGTGTATTTAGCTACTGTGGTCATCCTCATGTTCCCAAAGGGCAGGTCCCACGCCTCCTCCCCCAGCAGTGCCCAGTACTGCCTGGACACCCAGAGGCCCAGGGAAGACCTGCTGAGCTGACGAATGGGTCCCCCAAACATCCATCTCTAGGCCCTGCAGACCCCAAGGTGGGCCACCCCTCACCTGTAGGTCGTGGGTCACCTCCACCACACCCTTGGGCAGGGAGATGGCAACAGCCTTTTTCTGCATCTTCCCCATCCAGCTCTTCAGCTGCTCCTTGGTCAGCAGCTTCTCAAGGCGTTCAAGGGGCTCCACGTGGTGCGGCATGAGGATGATGAGGCTGGAGAGCTTGTGGGCCAGGGGCATCTCCACAATCTGCAGCTTCTCTTTCTCATCATCGTAGTAGTTGTAGAGGCCTGTGGGGGGAGCAGAGAGGGCACTGGGCATGCTGCTCTGGGGGCAGGCCAGGCCGCAAGCACCCGCATACCCCCACCTCGGCCCATAGCTCCCAGGGTGCCCACCTGTGCGGTGCATCATCGTGACACCCACGGTATAGGAACGGGTTACCATGAAGCCTCGGTTATCCACCATCTTGTGGTGGAACTTCTCGTCCCAGTGTGCTGTAGTGGAAGCAGAACACCAGGTCAGAAACAGGCCCCCACTTGGGACACAGACCTCCAACTGTACCCACTCTGGATTTCTCTCTGCCACAAGCCTTTGTTCCAGTCTTTGGGACTCAGCTGCAGCCCACCACCCCTCTGAGCATCCAGCCCACAGAGTACATGCTCCCCCGCTTTGGGGGGCAGGGGTGCTCGCCCCCGGACATGCTGCCTGAAGCTGTGGCTCTCTACGCTCAGGGCCTGGCTGGTTCCACACAACAGAGGAATGCCTTCAGAAGGAGGACCCTTTGGGGGCACCTGGGTGGCTCAGGCAGTTAAGTGGCTGCCTTCAGCTCAAGTCATAATCTCCAGGTCCTGGGATGGAGCCCCACATCAGACTTCCCACTCAGCAGGGAGGTTGCTTCTCTCCCTCTGCCCTACCCCACCACTCGTTCTCTCTAATAAATAAGTAAAATCTTAAAACAACAACAACAACAAAGGAGGACCCTCAGCTCAGCCACCATCACGGCTGCCCTCTGCCCTGGCACCCATCAGGCATTCGGGCAACGCCCACTGAGCTGCATCCCCCACCCCAGCTGCTGAGGGCTCTGTGCCCTGCCACCCCTCGCCTCCGGACTCACGCTTGAAGAACATGGCATTGACTAGCAGCGCGCCATCCGTGCGCTCCACGTCCTTGGTGACCTCGGGCAGCTTGCCGTCGGTGGTCTGCGCCGCCCACTCATTGATGGACTGCAGGGCGCTGCGCTTGTCGCGGAAGTTGATCTTGGAGTGCTCGCAGTTGTAGTGCTGCTTGCTGCTGCGCACGAAGTCCTCGGCGAAGCTGACGGAGCTGGGCCCATACAGGCGGCTGCCCAGCTTCCACGTCACGTTGCGTGCAGTGCTGTTGCTGAGCGATCGCAACAGCTCGCCCAGGCCCGCGTGCACCTCCTCGTCGCGCAGCTGCTCCGCGCTCAGCACCGCCTTGGCCTGGGATGCCGTGGTGGCCTTGCCCCCCAGCGACACGAGCCCCAGGGACGAGGCCACCACCACGGGTGACAGCAGGATGTTCTCCACCGCCTGGTCCTTGGCCATGGCCTGGTACAGGCTGAAGGCCAAGCCGGCGCTGCGCTCAGCCAGCGTGGCCGCTTTGGGGCTCAGCTTCTCGGCAGAGCCGGGGGCTGCTGCAGCCGCTGCAGCCGCGGGCTTCTTCACCTCGGCCGCCAGGGCCACGGCCAGGAGGCAGCAGGTGTTGAGAAGCAGGAGGAAGCGCATGGCTGGGAGACGGATTGGAGGCACCACGGAGGACCTGTGAGGGCTGCAGAGAGGGTGGCCCTGAAGCCCTGGGTGCTCCTCCCCGACGACCATCCCCAGCCTTCTGGCAGCCACCAAGTCCCCTGCAGATCGGAGCCAGAGAGTTCTGGCCCTAACTCAAGGTTGCCCAGGTCAGAGGACTCACTCTGCTCACTCTCTCTGAGGCCTACCCTGACCCTGTTATCCAAAGCAGGATTTCTAGAAAGTCACCACCTCCACTCTACTGATTTCTTAAACTGAATAGACATTTAATCTTATGCGTTCATTATGCATTTCTCTCCATCCCTAACTAGTCCATGACCTCCAAGAGGACAGGAAATCTAGCCAGCCTGGTTTCCCTCTATCTCCAGGGCTAAGCACACAATCGGCCTCAGGTGTTCCTGAATGAACAGAAACCAGGGCCACCTGGCCAGACTAGTAAGAGTCCTCGCTCGTTTGTATAAGGATTAGCTCTGATCTCATACCTCCCCTCCCCCCCCCCCCCCGCCCCCAGGTGGTTTCCAGTGGGAAAAAAGTGGCAGAGGGACTGAGGGTCTGCATGAAGCACAGGTGCCTAGGCAAAGGATGTCCTGCTGGGACAGGCTGAAGGCCTGCTCCTCCCCCCACGCCTTTCCTTCTGGCCTGGAATGTTAATGAGTCACTGGTTAGCTCACTCATTAAGTGGGGGAGCCCAGATGCTCCACTCTGCTGCCCCACAGGTGACCTTGAGTGTGTGTCCACTCCTGTCTCAGGGCCGGTCCCCATTTTCCCAGCTGTCTCGGCCTAGGTCTCCAAGCCCAAGGCCTGTGTCCTAGCAGGGACATGCCTGCCCAGCAGTCCCCGGTCCCTGGAGTGAAGGGGAAATCCCCAGGACAAAAGCTGAGAAGGGGGGAGGTTTCCTGAGAGGAAGGATACTGCAGGAGGGTAAGTGGCAGCTCAATGGAGCAATGACACCCTCTCCCCTTCACCAGAGGCTGGCCGGATGTTCACAGGAAGCTGGGTCCAACTCAGGGTCCATTCTGCCCTCCCATCTGACAGTCGCTGCCACCCAGGCTCTCTGCTCTACGGCTTCAGGGTTGCCCTCAAGACCCTTCCCAAACCAGGGTAGCAGTGGCCCCTAAAACAAGCCTCTCTCCGCTCACTCCCCTCACTGCCTTCCAGTCAGGACAGTCTCTCTGCATGGGGTGCTTCCTCCCTACTTTCAGGCAGAATGGAAGAGGAGGTGACAGGGCAAAGGGAAGGGATGGAAGGAACTCTGGTGGAGGCTGGGATCCTACTGCTCTGGTGGCTCCCATCTCATGGTCCTCAAGACAGACTGAAAAATCAGAATCCTGGTGCAGGACCCTCAGGACTTTGGCCTGCCTGCAGGAGCACTGGGTTTCTGGGAAGACTCCACTGCTACAGACATCCTGTGAAGCTGGGCAGGGCCCCCTGCCTGGGGTGCCATCTCTTTGAAGGTGCAGTGTAAAGGAGAAGCTAAGGATGCATGGGGAAAGGGGTGAGGGGAGGATGCAGGGCACAAGAGAGACCTGTACCCTACCTAGAGTAGAGACCAGGGAGGTGATCTATCCCAGGGCCCGGGCTGCCTTCCTCCCAGCCCTAGCTCCTTCCCCACCAGGCCCGGAGTCTCAAAGGCAGAATGACCATAGAATTATTGTACAACCAAGAACACCTGAGGACATGAAACAGGGGCACTGCTAATTGTTATGCCAAGATAACGAGCATATGGCCACTCTATTCAAAGGCCACCTCTGGTTCATACGGCTGATGTCAGAGAACGGTCCCCGGGCAGAGGCCACTTGCATCCCATTAGGAGACAGTCAAGGAGCCCAGCTCATGGCCCTGCCACGTGGCAGACACCATCTTGACAGCCCCCACCCACAACCAACCAGAACCTCAAAGGACTGGGAGGGGCATTCCAAGCAAGCTCCAAATGACTAGTTTGGGATTCCTCAGGCAGCCACACAGCTGCGCTCCTGCTCCCGCTCCTGCTCCTGCTCCCACTCCAGCTCTAGGTGACGTGGCAGGCTGGAAACTGAATTATCTCCATCCGCCGGCAGAGGGGGGCTTCCCAGCCTGGGAAGCAGGAGGCCTGGGTTCAGGTCCCAGAGGGTGCCCTAGAGCCTCCCTGGCCTTGGCTTTGAGTCTGCACATGTGTCTCTGCAAGGAGGTGCAGGCAGATGTGTGGCTGTGGAGAAGGGCTGCCCTGCTAACCCAGCAGCAGTCACAGAGGAAGACAAGTCACGGCAAGCAAGCCAGCCTCCCACAGCCCAGCCCAGCCCAGCCCACATTGCCACAGAGAAATCCCGGCCCTGAGGCCACGGTTAGATAATTTACAGTCCCACAAAGGACACAATAAATATACGCGCAGGGAACTGAGGGCTGTGTCCACAGCCAGCCAGACTGAGTTTAGACTGGATTCTGGGTTTCTGGGAGTAAGAGGGAAGGGAAGCAAATCTAGGAGGGCCACCGGAGAGGATCTCAAACACTTGAGGGTGTCTAAAGTACCTTGAAACTGCCTCAGAGGGAGGTCAATGCCTGCCTTTTTCATTCTGAAAGAAAACAGAAGAATGAGGAGGGCGGGATTGGGCAGAGCTGGGGTGCTGGTGAGGTGGGGCCTGGAAGCCCCAATCCCCAAATGGGACCCCAGCTACACTGTCCCTGGCACAAAGTAAGGCATAATCAGTCCCAGATCCACAGAGGCCTTGGAAGTTGTTCATCTCACGGTGGGGTCAGAGCAACTGAGGCCAGAGAGGGGCAGGGAGCCAACGCCACATCCCACAGAATCAGCAGGGGTCAAGCATCCTGGTGCAGGGCTCCTTCCTCCCAGGAGCACCCACAGAGCCCCTGAGGAAGCCTGGATGTGGTATCCCATTACACAGTGAGTTTAAAAGACAAACAAACAAAAAACGCCTTCTGGGAATCCTGGTGACTGGAGACAAAAGGAGAGGCCTCAGGAAGGGGGGGATGGGCCGATGACCCATCTGAGGACCGGAGGGTGTGGTACCAGCCAGAGACTTCCAGGGAACCAAGGCCTCCAGTTTTCCTCCAGCCTCCATCCGGGCCCTACAGCCCAGAGGGTCCTGCCGGAAACCGGGAAGAGGAGGAGCCGGGCCTCCCGGCCCTGCTGGAAGCGCTTCCTTCTGCCTCCACTGCGGCCGCCCCAGCAATGTCCCGAGGGGGCAGGGAAGCCTGCCTGGCCTCTGCGGTCGTGGCCCCGCGCCGCCCTCACTGCCGCCCTGCCCTCACTGCCGCCCTTACTGCACGCCGCGGGCAGCCGGGGCCGGCGAGCAGCGGGGGGCTCGCAGCCTCCGAGGCGGCTGCCCCCCTGCCGAGGCCCTCCCCTCCTTTCTGAAGGGAGCTGGGGGAGGCGGCTGGGGCCACGCTCCTCTCTTAGCTGCCGGCCCTGCACGTGCAGGCTGCTCACCAGAGGGGGCCACCGCTGGGGGCTCCGGCCTCGCTGGGCGCCCCCCCCGGAGAGCCACGGCCGCCTCACCTGCTTTCCTCCACCTCCCCCACAAGCCCCGCCGGCCCCGGGCCCCTGCCCCCGGCCCCCCTGCCCCCCCGCCCCGCCTCCGCCCCGGGGCGCCCAGCCCGCGGTCTGCCCCCGGCCGCCACCGCCCCGGCCCCAGGCTTCTGCGGGGCCCCCAGGGCCCGACCCCCGCCGCCCGCCCCGGCCCGCCCCGCCCCACGGGCATCGCCGTCCCCCGCTCCCCTCCCCGGCGCCCCGGAGCGCCCTCCGCCCGCGGCCCGCCCCGCCCTCACCTGGGCCGGACGGGAGCCCCTCGCGAACCGCGGACGGATCCCACTCTCCGCCGCTCCCCGCTCCCCGGCTCTATATATGGCGGTCCCCTCCTCCCGCCCGTCCCGAGAAACTTCTGGAAAGTTGGAAAAGCTTCCGGAGGGCGCCCCAGCTCCGCCAAAAAAAGCCAGAGACCTCCCCCAGACCGCCCCGGCTCCCGCCCTCCCTCTGCGGGCTCTCACCCGGCCCCTGGGTCCTACTGCCCCCCGCATCGGGCGGGGCGCGGGGACCCCCGCAGGGGGCCGGGCGCGGGGACCTGCGGGGCCTGCTCGGCGCGCGGGCCCTTCGGCTCGGCTGGCACTGCGGGGGCTCCCGACCTTCGAGGGCCTGGAGATGGGGGCGGGGGGCGGAGCTGGAGGGGACCCGGAGAGGAGCGCCCCCCGCCAAGCCTGCTGACCCCGCACGGCACAGCTTGCGGGCAGCACTGCCCCCCGCAGGGGCTCGGCCCCGAGGAGATCCACTCTCCGGTTTTAGAGCAGAAACGTAACTGGTTCCCCGGCACGCCCCCTCCTCAGTCAGGGCCGTCTCCTGTGTCTTGGGGAGGTGGTGAGAAACTGAGAGGCGGCCTGTTTCTCCATCCGCAGCTTATCCTGAACACCCCGACCTCAGTGACTGCCCTAAGGGGAGAAGGGATCCTACCGAGCCCGATACCAGACCCTAACTCTGGAGAGTCCTGGGATCCCCGTGGTCCGGCTGGGTCTGGAAGGGTGCACAGGAAGGAGAGCCCTGGGGTCCACTAAGCAATACGCTGTATGATCCTAAGCAAGTCACTTTTCCTTTGCTGGGCCGCAGTTCCTTCTTTGGGTGTGAATGTGGTGCTGTCATTCCTTGCTTCTTTTCCATCGGTCCCTCTCCCTCTCTCTTTGGTTATCCCCGCCCCCTCCCTGTCTGGGCCCCCTCCCAGGGTTCCAGGGCTCACTATCAACCCCTCTCACCCCACCCGCTCGTGACTGATAGTCCCTTGAGCTCTGAGCTAAACTGGACATTCAGGTCTCTTCTAAGTGCTGAAGACAGGGCTGAGAACAAGACAAAGTCCTTGCCCTCAGGATATACCGTACAAGGAGGAAATGTGCGTGTTAGTAGGGAACCCAAAAAGGCAGATTATTTAGAACCTTCCCCTACCTCCCACAAGTCTTCTAATAGTGAAATGATGGATAACAGATGGGCACAGTATGAAGAGGAAGGGACAGGGTAGAGAGACACTTTATTCCCTCCTTCAGTGGATCACTAATAGGCTGTGCTGAGTGGCTTCCTTCTTCGGGATGCATCCTTGAATCTTGGGAAGCAAATGCATCCCAGAACCCAGTGGATGAATCATCTGGGTCCCTTGAAGCAGGGGTTGGGGGAGGGCCCTTTCTAGTGGTGACTAACCCTGAAGTCTGGGTTTGTCTGCTTCAGAGTTTGATTACAAGGACTGTGGGAAATCTTAGATTCCAAGAGCTTCAGGCTCTTTGAATCAGGGTCGAAGAGTCGGAGAGGACTTGAATCTGAAAGCAACCATCAGAGAAGGTGATTTCTTACTTGAATCCCTATGGCATCTTTGAATCCATCTAGAGAATCTCAGGGTGTTAAATCTCAGAATCAGAGACTCGTAGAAGAAAAGAAGCAGGCATCTCAGAGGGCACGGCTTTCTGTGTACGGGCCCCTCTCTGCAGTATCCCAACGGCAAGTGCACAGCATCTCTTAGAGCAGGGGGTTCAAATCCCACAGAGGCAGCCCAGGATTCTCTCTTAGGACAGGTCTGATCATTAACGAAATCCTCCTCAGAGTGGTGTCCATCTCTTTGGAGTGGCTGACCTGGTTTTCATGTGCTTCCTCCTGCCTCAACTGTGTATTGCTGTTAAAGATAAGTCCTTGCTATGCAAGGAAACCACCTGGGTCACAGGCCGCACTCCACCCACTCCCACATCCCCACTCCCAGCTCGGTCCTCACGTGGTAATCATCCCCTGAACTAATCCATCAGAATTTGTGGAATAAAGGAAAGGTCTTGGTTTCCAGTCAGTCCAGATGTCAAAATTCCACAGAGATTTCCTTTCTTCCAAGCTGTTCATCTCTTAGCTCTCTGAGGCCTCACAAACACTTTAGGGGTAGGCTGAGTGCTGACTCTCCCTGCCTGCGCTGAGTGAGAAGGGTAAACCACGGCTCCTGCTGCTAGATAAACCTGGAATCCTAGAAGGTCAGAGTAGAAAGAATTGATGCCCTTCATTTGCAGAGAGAGAAACTGAGGCCTAAGGTGAAGGCGAGGTCTGAAGACCCTCTGCCAGCCTCTCCAGATGGCTACTGTAGTTCAAACTGCTTTGGAAGCCTCCCCTGTGACATTATGTCTTGTCATCATCCTATATTGTCACTGAGTGTCACTGGAGACTTCGCACTAGTACTCTCTGGTACCCAGCACAGCGCATGCCCAGAAGAGGAACTTGGTAAGTGGTCAGCGAGTGAGTGGTGGGAAGTGGCTGCCTGAGTCTGTGGGGCTCCGCCTCCCTGACGACAGACAACGGCTCCTTTAAATTTCCGAGATCAGCAAAAAAATGTCAAGAGCCTTTGCCACATTATTCTTAGCTCTGAGCCCAGCCCAGGCCAGCCTGTGGCCCTTCCCCCACCCTCCCAGGCTGCACATTCTGGAAAAAGCACTCTTTTCAAAGAGGGAGGAAAGACAAAATTGCAGAGAGACTGTACAGCATTTCGGGGCTGGAATCCTCCAGCCCCTTGGCTCCCTGCAGGAGCTGTGCCCACCCTCCACCCTCATCCCAGTCCAGAGAGGTGTGTAACGTTGCCCAAAGTCCCACAGCAAGTCTGAAGTAGAGCTGGAGCCACCTTTGCCCCAAACCATCTTCTCATAGACCCAGCCAGATAGGCAGACCCAGTTTCGGGAGCTTGTCCTGGTGCCAGTGGCTGGATTCTTGCAATCCTTGCCCTATAGGATCCTTGGACAAAAACTAACCTGTGACTTAAGTGCTCAGCATGCTCATATTGAATATTTTCAGAGTAAGTAAGAATGTTACCATTTTATTTTAAGTGGGCACCCAGCATGGAGCCCAACACAGGGTTTGAACTCAAGATCCTGAGACCAAGACCTGAGCTGAGATCAAGAGTTGGACACTTAACCCACGAAGCCACCCAGGCACCCTAGAATGTCATCATTTTAACCCTGAGGAAACTGAAGCTCAGGGAGGCTCAGTGGAGTATTTAAGGGCCTACAGTGAGCTGCATTCGGTACTGGGCTTTGAACTAGGTCGGTTTGTTCAAGGAAAGGCAGGGAAAGAGAAGGACAGAGAAATGGCATTTATGGGTCACTTTACAATGGCTGGCCTTGCTGGGCACCTAAACAGTATCTCACTCTTAATTATAGGATGCTAATTGGAAGGAAGCGGAACCCTCTGCTCCTTTTTACACGGGATAAAACAGGCCAAGAGAGGTGCCGATAACCCAGTCCCTGGGAGCCAGGGCTACCACAGGCAGTTCTTTGAGATGCTGTCCAGAAGCCAAGAATATGCTCACAGCCCAAAGCATGAGTCAGGGAAACGCAATTTCTGCAATCTCTGATTTCTCTGTGGAGTGGGGCCTTCTGACTGAAAGGGCAGCCCTGCAAGCTGCCACGTCGGAGGATGGGAGGCCCAAGTGGGCCTGGGGGTGGGCGGGCGCATGATCTCTCCCCTCCTCCTCCCGGAGCCGGCAGCCCCACCCCCACCGCCACCCCTCCGCAGTCCCGGTGATGAGGGAGGTCACAAGGGAAATCCAGTGCCTTCACTCACACGCCTGACACAACACCCAGGAGACACACGCCCACTGCCACATGACACTGCGGATGCATCCGCTGCAGCCCGTGCAATCCACGCACACACGCGTCTGCGTGTTCTCTAGCAACGCAAATGCGCCGCATGCAGCACACTTGCCTCATAGGAACCCGTGTACAGGCACGGACTCAAGGGGACAGGGGAAGGGGCATAGCCAGGAAGTCAATGGGATTCCACTCTCCTCTCTTCACCCCTTATTAGCTGTGAAGCACTGGGGAAGTCACTTCCCTCTCTCAGTTTCCATTTGTAAAATGAGAAGGTGTGACTCCTCCTTGCGCCCCACTCCCTGTCTTCACCTCAGATCCTGCAGGCCTGGGGCACCTGGGTGGCTCAGTCCGTTAAGTGGTTAAGCATCAGCCTTCTGCTGGCCCTCAGGCCTCAGCCCTCAGTTCAGGCATGATAGGGTCCTGGTGATGGAGCCCCACGTCAGGATCCCTGCTGAGCGCAGGAGCCTGCTTTTCCCTCTCCTCCCCA